CCAAATTTTAGACGATGTGTTTTCCCCATATATACAGGGTTCACATAGTTGACTGTCTAGTTAACCCTGATACCCATCTGTTCTTCAAGGACATTCTTAATATGACGTTTGTCCTGGTGACCCCAGCGCTCATGGTATAACTGCAGAGTTGAATCACTTGTGACAGCTATGTTGACTTCTACTGGGTTATTCGGAACAAGTACTTCCATATGAATTTTATAGAGACCACCACTTATGCTTCTTGTACCATAGAGTACAATTTCATTGTTGATTTTCAACCAGCATTCTTCTGCAGTTGATTCAAATCTACTATTTTAGTTTTTATCTTGAGCAGCCAGTACGGAAAATAAGTTCTTACTAATACCTGGAACAAACCAAACTTCTTTAAGTTCTTTGAATTGTTTTTCTCCTTTTATTGTTGTCATAATTTTCCTTTACTACCTTAAAAGTTCCTTTACCTACAGCTGGTAGTTTTTTGCCATTTGCAGCAGTAATTCCATGTGGTGCTTCAAATTTTTCAAATTCTGTGAAGTAATCACTATTACTGGTAATGTGCTTTGAAGCAGCATTATCCACAGCCAGTCATAGCAATTCTTTTCAGATGAGGAGCTTCTTCGTCTAGAGCTAAATAAGGACATATTTGCTTTAACACCATCTTTTCTTGAGACTTTATCATTTTGACTGGGCTTCGGTGGTCTTCCATCTTCTATCCGTTTTCGACAAAATTTAATCCAATGTCCACTCTGGGGGCAATAGTTGCATTTTCCTATCTGCTTTTTACATTTGAAATTTCTTTTTATTTTGCTTGATTTAGCTTCTAACGCATATTGATTTTGGACATCACCTTTAGATTTTTCTTCTTTATATTCTCTTTCTTAAGAGCATAATTGAGTAGTTAACTCATAAATTGTTCTTTTCACTTCATTAAGAAGCAGCCAACTTGACTTAAAACAACGGTAATCTTGAGGTAGTGTGTCTAAAATTTTGCAAATTAATAACATCTGAGGCAGTTGGGTTTCTTGCTTTCTTTGAAGACCTAAATTTCATTCATTTCAAAGATTCTTCAGCTTTGATAGATGGGCAGCCATACGATCATTCATTGTCCACTTACACTGGAAAATATTATATAACTGATTGTCAGATGTTGCTTCAAAAAGTTTATGAATTTCTAGCCACACCTCTCTAGCAGTATCAAACCTCATAATTTTCTGCATGGTTTCTTCTGTCATAGAATTCGTCAGTATCATCATGGCACAAGTGTTCGCCTTTTTATATCGTGAAAGATCATCCGAGTATTTCTTCAAAGTTGCTTCAACAGCTCCTTCAGGTGGCTGATCGGCTTTAACTATTTTTCCTTCAACAACTTCCAAGGAGTCGTTATAGTAGTTTAAAGCGAACTTGATTCTATACTTCCACATCAGCCAATCCGATTCTCCACTTAATGGCTTCAACTGCAACTTTCCTACCTCCATTATTTACTCTTAGCGTTTCTGGAACCTTCTTCACTTTTATCGAAATAAAAAGATAAACACTTGAATACTTAGTCCAGTTCAATCAAATACTTCCCTCTAGGGCTTTTTTTAAACAAAATATGATTTCAGGACTTGAATAATGAGAAGAAAAAACTTTGCCGATCGCGTGGTTAGGGTTAACGCTATTGTCTTATTATAAAAACTTCTGCATTAAAAATAAAACTCTACTATCATTTTTGCGCATGTAGCGTGCGTAAAATCCATAACCTATTGCATTTTAAGATTAAATATGCTAAAACTGAAGAAGAATCATACTAAACGTTTTTCTAATCCATGCTTTTAATGCAAGTTAAGTTATATGACAAAGTCAACAACAAATCGCTCAACTGAGCTTCTCAAAGTAGAAGTTGAAGTACATTCTGAGATGTTGCCAAACAAATATATAAAATAAAAAATTCCAGTACCTTGTTTTTTCTTTTGTAACATAAATAACTTCAACAGATTCTAGACAGAATATCCTCATCTATTGTCTCCGGAGGCAGCTGTACATAACTTTACGATGTAATGATTCTGAACATAAGTTTGTTTAATGAATGCAGTGACTGGTATCAAGTTGTAATCATTCTTTTCTTTTATGTCTTTATTCGTCATTTCAAGTTTTATCACGATCGAACAAATTTCTGGTGCGTCCGATGCGGTTGCTCTCTTTCAGCCCTAGGCACAAGCATATATGCCCTAGGCATATATTTATGTTATTATCTGGCTGTGAATTAATTCGCCATTTTATTTTCGAATAATTATTAGTTTAATTTGTTATCATTTGAGCGATTTTAAAGAATCTTTATTTATAACTCTTGCAATTTATTTGAAGTCAGATCTGCTGATCTTCAAAATAACATTGTTTCGTCCAACAGATACAAAGATGAAAGGAAAATCTGTGTTTAAGGTGATTAAAAATTTCACAAAGAAGCAGTTTTTCGGTTAGCATTAAAACGGAATTTAAATGGAAGTTGAAAATAAGTAAGTAAACAAATAAAATTTCTAAGTTTCTTGTTTCTTAACTACATGGGAAAAAAGAAATTGTATTATGCGATTAGGAAAATGATCGCATAAGTTAACATGAGGTGATAACATTAGTTGTGATAACATCAAGACAAACGCAACAAGTTTTATGCGCCCTTTATGTCATGAAATTTGTCATGCCACTACATAAAAAAGGGAAAAGTGTAATTAATTAGGTAAATATTACTGAAGTATTGAGTGATATGTATATATAATTAATTACGGCTTCAGTTTTGCTCAAATTTGAAATGCGCTCAAATTTAAACAAGGGGGTTATAAAAGATATCCCTATATAAAAAATCTTGTGTACCTGCTAATATGTGAATGCTATGTGTTATGCGAATGTTAAAAAGATGTAAAAATTCTGTAACTTCGAAAACACGTATATTTTTTCCTTCTATAATACATTATAAATTAAATTTTTCATTTAACTTATGTTTACATACTAATGTGTATGCGTGGGTGTTCCAAAAGTGATAGGACACATGGAAACAAAAACCTTTCATTACGAAATGCAAGGTCGCATATGTTAAGCGGTTTTTAAGCGACAAAAGGTGCGTTCCCTTCTTTCTCAACGTAAACGCCTGTCTTCTCTTTACTTGTATTCTCGTCCATTCCTTAACTCTTGCAGTAACTGAAGTCGATAACCCATAAATGGTGACTGTTCAGACAAAAATATCGGTTAACAGAGAATTGAGGTTCTCTCTGGGAAGATGATGAAGTCGATAACCCATAAATGGTGACTACTCAGACAAAAATATCGGTTAACAGAGAATTGAAGTTCTCTCTGGGAAGATGATGAACGAGGAGGCGGTTAAGATAGTAGGTTTTATAAATTGATCACACCTTAACCAAAGTTACTGGGATGGTTTTAAAGAACTTCAGCACTAGTATGAAACAAAAACATCAAATATAAGTAACTAATCGAGAAGCAAAGCGATGTCACAACGGAGGAGCACAGACAAAACACATGAAAAAGTACAAAACACAAATGCGACTAAAATCAAGGAGGTTAGAATAGAAGGAGGGAGGGTTCGCAGTTTCCTCCACTATCGGGGAATGAAACTCCGCTGAACAAGCGGCGTCCATGTTTGTGACTTCAAAACATTGCATTACGGCAGTGACATGTACGTGTTTCTAAGCTGTTCTGTGCATTTATTTTCCAGTAAAAATATGTTAAATTTATAATGAAATCCCTCGCTATTGTTAAATTTTTGTTTTAAAGTAATAAAGATGATATCCATAATTTACTATGTACAGCAAATTATTAAGAAATAGTTCGAAATCTAAATCCATGCGCATAACATTAAAGCCTTTAAAAAATGATGTTTCTGCATATTTCACGGATTTGCTTAGGTTAGAAAATAAATCTTAATGAAATAAAACAGATTATGTGAATTCATTGATTTCAGTTTATGCGCATTTCATATTTATTAATCTCAAAGAAACTGCCTTTAATTAAGTTGAATTACAGAAATACACCTATTTTTGGTTTTGGTTTGGTTATTTATTTAAGTTTTTGGATACATCTTTCCACATGTTCAATTGTGTAAATATTTTGCTTAATTTTATCACTATACTGCCTAGAAATTTGTAAGTTTACATAAAAAATTTTTAACAACAGAACAGTTTATCTTAACTTAAAAAATGAATAATAATTAATATATAAAAAAAAGCATTGCTTTATTTAACACCTTTACAATTAATAAAAATAGTAACAATTGATTTCTTACATTTCATGAAAGTTATAAAACGAATTAACTAAAACGTTCAAATTATACAATTTAAATCCTACCATATAGCATTGTATCTTAAGTAACGAAGATACCAGCTATAAACAGAAACATTAAAATGTATTTAACATATTTTGATTATAGTTATATTACGTAACCTATTTTGATTATTTAAGTCCCTTTTTTTTCACATCTGGAAAGAAAACCAACATGACATTGTGATATTTTTTGACATAGTTGTCGTATTACATAAAAAAAGAAAATCAATACTTACGTGTGAAAAATAACGCCCGGAATTTTTTTCGAGAATCTATTTGTGCACCCATATGCAATACAAGCTGACATGCTTCAAAAAGAAAAGAAAAAAATGTTGCAATGACAGACTTCCTTGCACAAGTCACGGTGATAACAGGAAGATGGCCGCCAAGCTTCACCGTTTGAGTTGAACCTTCCCTCCTTCTATTCTAACCTCCTTGACTAAAATGAACGCAAAACTACCGATAACGCTGCTTGCGAAAACTCTGAAAGCGTCCTATGTCTCTATATGCGAAAAACAGAGCGAGTGCCTTTCTGCGCCTAACGGCTTAACGCGAGGCCGTACGTTCTGTGATGAAAAGTGTTTGCTTCGGTGTGCTCTTTACCCTTTATAGTTTATTCCATTAGTTTTGAAATACCCTGTTCAACAATAATTTATTTATCGATAAAGATCTGAAAAAAAAATTTTATTTTACAGGATCAGTCAGAAGATGTTAAGACAGAATTTCGCAGGTTTGGTGTCCGGGCTCAACACTATCTTTCACCAAGAGCAGCTTTAGTAAATCCTTGCTTTTGTTGCATCATTATGTAATATCATGTTTGCCTTTTTGATTCCATCCATATGAAAATTTTTAATAATATTTCTGATGTTTGAAATCATATAAAAAGTTTCATAAATACCAATTTCTTTAGTATTGCATTTATTGCTAGAATGAATTTAAATGTGTTAAAAATGTGAATTGTGCCACATTCCAGTACAAATTCTGGAATTCATTAATGTTAATATTCTGATAAATATTTTGAATAATATATGTGTATATATATGTACACTCAGATATACTAGTGTTGTTAATTAGTTTAACTAAGAACTTTGTGACATAAAATTAAGGTTATCATAAAAAGGTAAAATAAATATAGTAATATTTTTTAGAACTCTTTTCATATATTAAATTATTAAATCATGCAATGGTTTTTAACTCGGCGAAGCAGTAAGCAATTTCGATAAATGCGTTATAAGAATGTAAATATGAGCATTTCTACAAAACGCGCCCTAAACCAAGCGGACAATTTCTATGAAATATTTCTCACATTCAAAGAAATTTATCTCCTTCAAAATAATCACCAAAGGAGTCTATACAATTTTTTCAACGTTTCTTTCGGTCATCGAAACACTGTTCATAGGTGTTGGAACGAACCGTTCGGAAAATAAGCGTAACACTGTTGTTTTGTTATTGTGACTTACCTCACTTCTTTGACAGTAACATCAGAACAAGCCCACGAAATTCATAGTGGCAATGAGCAAGATTGCACCTATCATTGGTGAGAGCCTTGAGCACCATAATAGGTGACAGTGCGACTTTGCTCAGTTCTGTCCCCAGTTTTGAAGGAGAGCACCCCAGGGAAACGAGTCCGAGGATCTCCCACTTATCAGCAACCTCTTGAGAGGATTTTCGGCTCGCCGCATGTTTAGAGCGCCCTCATGCCGCACAGGCACTAGACATTTACCCTTCAGTTCGGCAGTCAGCGTTGCAAACCACTAGCCTGGTTGTGCGGCCCTCGTAATATTTGCTTTAAGATCCGAGATTTTTTTCAAATCTCTGTCCTTTCATTATCATAAGTTGCGAGAATGTGGTGGGTGATTTATCGCTGCAATTCGATGCTTAACAAGATATTGTTGTACAGAAAATGCTGTATGGGGCATAGCATTGTCATATAAAAGAAACCATTGCCAAGAATAAAAAAATTCCTCCCTAACTCGCCTTAAAAAGTACCTCCTTGTAAAAATACTGATTATTTGATTGATTTTCAGGGATAGATTCATGGTGAAGAGTTCTTTTCAATCAAAAAATGCAATCAGCATCACATTCATCTTTAATTTTAAAATCCGTTTTCTTTTTTAAAAATTTTTTATTATTAGCTTTTAAACTTTTTGTGGGAGGAGATAGTTTTTTCCCACTGTGAACTTTGTCGTTTTATTTCTGGGTCGTATTGTAGACAACATATCTTACCTCTCGCTGTGATACATTTGAAGAGATTGCTGTCCTGTTCCGCAGTAGTCACCAAATCTTCACAGCAAGCTTTTCTTTCTTCTTTTGGCTGTTCTATCAAAGTCCGAGGCCTAAATCGAGCACGCTTTCCTCATTTTCAGATTTTCAAGTAAAATTAACCTACAGCTTTCTTTGTTTATCCCAAGCATGTCTGAAAATTGTTGAGTTGTTACACGTCTATGAACTTTTAACCGAACAGCGAATTTGTTTCACAGTATCCTCATTCGTTGAAGTTGAAGATCTTCATCTTCAACGCTTTCGCGCCCACATTTAGCTATTCTGCTACTCATACAGTTGCGTTCTTGATAACGATGCATCACCATATACTGTTCGAATGTCTCAGTCTGTGTGTATTGTTATAACGTTTTCCAGATACAATTTGGAGTTTGAGCGCTAGTCATGTACGGCTGCACGACTGCCAGGGTCTGAGCTCTCTTTCTAGCGTAATTACAATGCTAAGCAAATATGTAACATAAAACAATAAATGGAAATGCTGTTACATATTGTATTTAGACTATAACAACCATTTACCCTAGGAGTCATTACTTAGATAAAATAAGTGTTCATTTTTGTAAGAACAGATAAAACAAATGTGGTGATGTAATTTCAATTCCTTCTACAAATTCTCTTAGAATGTAACTACAGACTATTGCAACTGATTAGTCTTTATTTTGTTTTATCGAAATATGCGTCTTGCATTTTGTTTCACGGAAATAATAACAGTTTTTAACTGTATAATCGTTATCAAAATAAATGAAGATAAAAGAATAAATAAAATTCTGAGACTTGCAACTTCAATGAATATATATTTGGTCCGCACAAGAAAAAGGAAGTTCCAATTAATCACATGTGTTTTAGTCCCAGTTAATGCGGATATTTACAGGCCTACTGTAATGAATTCATGAAAAATAAATAAATTAAAATAAAAAATAGAGGAAAATATTTTTAATCACAGAATTCGATACATCACAAAGAGGACTTCGCTTGTGAAAATAATGACTAGAGCACAGCCCACTGGGGAGCCGAGTAGCTAAAGCCGGTAAATGTTGGCGAATCGGATGCAAATGGTGGACAGGCTAGCCACAAGGAAGTTTCGCGATTTTTCCCTATGCAACATGAATACAAGCCTGTTTCCTTTAAAAAGAGCACTCGCAAAGACATATCTTTCCTTAGGAGTTCTGACGAACAGGCTAGCTGCATGGAAGTTTTCATGGTTTTCCCCACGCGTAATGTGCACATGTGCCCCTATAAAGTCCTCCACAAAAAATATCCTTTTCCTTAGGTAGATAGCCCTCGAGAGTTTCGACATAATCAAATAAACCGAACCAAACCTTACGCAGTAAGCCCTTGTGCGCCTTGACGCAAGCAATTAATCTGCCCTTCTGTTTATTAAGTGGAAGAGAAGCTATGGTTAGGTTAAGCTATTTAAATATGAGAGAACACACAAGAGCTACCTGCTTAAGTAGAGGGAGCCTTTCTGGAGGACTTTCTGAGAAAACTGGCTTGTTTTCATGTTAAACGCGGAAAAAATCATGAAAATCAACCATGCAGCCAGCTCTTTCGTCTGAGACCGAACTGAAATCAAACTTACAGCATTTAGGAAGCTTAACTACTCGGCCACTGTTGCGGCTTGAAGAAGAAGCTATGAAATTTCACTACAGATTGACGTTAATATTATAGAAAACATTTTTACATTTCAAAGCATACAAGAAATGAGTAACAATAAAAGACAACAATCATATCGAGAAAATAGAATGCGAAAAAGTAAAAATAAAGAGATAGGCTTTCAAACATTTCAGAGGGGGAAAATATGTTAGATTGACATTTTAAAAATTATCATGTATCATATAAAAAAATCATGTATTATAATATCAGTGGTCTTCACACTTTATTAATTCAGGGAACCCATAAAACATATGAAAAAAAAAAAAAAAAAAAAACTATCGAAAATATATTGCAAACACATTTATATCAAAAATAAGAAAATCATTATTTCATTACAATTTTTAATTGAATGATTTGAAGATAAGTTTCATAAGTGTAATTATTAATTACTATTATAATATGCAAGTTTACTAGTTGAGATGTGCTTGCTTTTTTTTACATGAAATATCAAAGTTTCCTGTAAGGGCATTTCACATTCACTTTTTAGTCTATTTCTGGGAGATGGTTATTACATACAGCTGTGCAACCCTGTGAAGATAGAAAGGCATTTTATTTATTGAGTCATTCCCTTTCTTTTTTCTTCCCAACCATGGCCTCCCAGCGGCCGAGGAGTAAAGTCCCTGAATATCGGTAATTTGACCTGGGTTTGTTTTCAGGGGAACACACTAGCTGCATGGGTGCCATCATGATTTTCCCATGTGTAAAATGGATACAGGTCAGTTTTCCTTAAAACGTCCTTCACGAAGGCATCCCTACCGTTAAGCAGATAGTTTTAGTGTGCCTTAACATTCAAATAAAATTTTTTCCGAATTTAAAAATAATGTCAGTTTAAATTTTTAAATCCGTGGTTAACATATATTGTTTGGACCGTAGAGACATAATTTATCGATTCTGCAAGTGTGTAGCCATCCTGAACTTTTCCCGGGAGGGGGGGGGCATTTGTTCAAATGCACTTTCTCCAAACCAGGTAAATTTTCTGATGTAATAAAATACCTGATTCAGATTCAAACATGAAAAAAATTTACATTCTTTTTTAATTTTTAAACTTAAGTTGATTAATTTAATTAATTAAACTTTTTTCCATTTTAAGTTTTAATGCTCTGTAATAAATATAATTAATCTCGTTTCCATTATATATATTCAAGAACATTGAAAATAGCACACTAAGAAGGGAGCATCGGATTGAAAAGAAATTTAATACACATAATCATATAGATGAGAGATTATCTTGATTCCAAAATCAAGACAATTAGACAAATACAGTGCAACTTTAATAGTGTGTCGGACTGCCTCCTGCTGCAATACATGCCGCAACATGGTTTGGCACCAAGTTGATTAGACGCCTGATGTTCCGAGACAAATGGACCCACAAATCTTGAACAGCCGACCTTCATATCATCTGGCGTTTCAGGTGGTCTCCAACATATTCTGTAGGACACGAGTCCAGGGAGCAGGCCGGCTATGGAAGAGTTTGAACATGATGTAATAAGTCTTAAGCAACTCGAGATGCATGCAGGTGAGCATTATCTTGCTGAAAAATTGCCCCAGGAAGACCATTTAGGAAAGATACACATGGGGTCAAAGAATATCATCAATATAGCACTGATCCATTGAGGTTTCAAGTACCACAATTAAAGTGCATCGGCTATCATAGGCTACGGCCCCCCAGACCATTATGCTTGCTATGCGGGCAGTGTGCTGTGCAACAGCGTGGGTGGAATTGTATCATTCATCAGGGTTCCTCCACACCCATACCCGGTTATCATGTTTCGGTGTTCAAGGCACTACATGGAAAACGTGCTTGCACTGCAGATTTGCTTCCGCAGTGCGTCTGGAAAAGGTTTACGGAAAAAACTGGCATCCCTACATCTAATTTTATTGTGGAACGAGTCACTGTGGGATCCCACAAGATCCTTGGACCATCTGGTGTCTTCCTTTTTCCGAGATTCCTGTTTCTGCGGTTGTCACAAGCATTCCTGTTTCTGCGAAATCATCAAACTTCATTACCCTCTTCCCTAAGGAGTTACATAGTGGGGGGGGGGAGAGTGGATCTTGGCCTCTCCCGAAATGAGAGACAGCCAAAAAATTTTAGATTCGAATTCGATATTAGTCTTGTTTTGCATGAGCGGCGATTTAAGGAGAGGAGGAGGAGTTCAGTCATATTTTAATGACAAGATGTTTTAAGTAAAACGTTTTTGAAAATTGCTCGAGATGTGTATAAATTTCAGAACTGGTGTGCAAAAATTAAGGACGAAGTCGAAAAATTAGCATATCAGCTGAACGAAGAGGCAGAGCGGACAGAAAGACCAATCAGGAGATTAAGTAAGGTGATGTACGGTAGCACATGCGCAGATATGCAGGTAGACGTAATGGGGGAGTGTCTGAGTAGTATAAAGCATGTTGTCGGTGTAAGATCAGTATTTCTGGCAAAGAGATTGCACGCCGTATAGCAGTTAAAATCACACACCGAGTTGCTGCCTCTCAGCGAGAAATGGCGAATAATCAATCTGTTAGACGACATCTGGATGCTTTTACCCGAGGTCGAATCATTGGGAAGTTGGAGGAAGGCCGCAGTGTGACAAGTGTGGCTGCAGAGTTCGGAATTGCTCACAGCATCGTTTCACGACTTTGGAGACAATTTCAAACTACAGGAACAGCTATCCGGGGGTTTAGTAGTGGTCGTCCACGAGGAACCACACCCGCAGATGACCGGTATATTGCCTTACAGGCCAGAAGAAACAGGCGGCAGACAGCGGGAGAAATCGCTAGACACACGACACAGGCGACTGGACGACCGATATCGCGTTTTACCGTGGCCAGAAGACTGCACGGTGGTGGTCTGTTTGCACGACGCCCTGTACGGTGTGTACCTCTAACGCCTGCCCATCGGAGAAGGCGTTCTCTGTGGTGCCGGGAACACCGGAATTGGAGAGACAATGAATGGGGACGAGTACTCTTTACAGATGAGAGCAGATTCAGTCTGAGTAGCGATTCTCATCGCATACTCATCTGGAGAGAGCGGGGAAGCCGCAATCATCCCTCGAACATCATTGAAAGGGACAGGTATGGAGGTGGCGGTGTTCTCGTTTGGGGAGGCATCATGCTTGGTAGTCGTACAGACCTTCACATCTTCGACGCAGGTTCAGTCAACGGGACCCGTTATTGTAACGAGATTCTTCTTCCATATGTGCGTCTTTTTAGAGGCGCTATGGGTCCGCAGTTCCTTTTCATGGACGACAATGCACCATGTCATCGCACAGTAGCTGCCGAACAGCTCTTAGAGAGTGAGGATATTGAACGTATGGATTGGCCGGCACGATCTCCGGATCTCAATCCCATCGAGCATGTATGGGATTTTCTAGGCAGACGCTTGGCAGCTCGTACCTTACCACCAGTAACGATTCCGGAGCTTCGATTGGCGCTGCAAGACGAATGGGCAGCAATGCCTCAACAACTCATTGACACCCTCATTCTCAGCATGGGCAGACGCTGTGAAACCTGCCTAGCAGTCAGGGGAGATCATATCCCCTATTAAAGACCGGATGTTTCTTGCTGGACACCCATCACAGGGATGTTTCGGCCTTCAGTCGCATTGCGCTCTATGCTACTTTTTCAATAAAGCTTCTTTTTATCCCTCTGATTTCTCTTTTAGTAAGTGTTGCTTACATTACTCATGTCCTTACGTATTGGGGATCTTACGGTATTAAATGTGTTGATTTGGAAAGCTTTTGTACAAAGTTATATTGAAAAAAACCGTCTCGTCCTTAATTTTTGCACACCCAGTGTAAATATTCATTCTGAAAGGACGTTCTTTCTTCTAAAACAACTTCTTTGGTCTTAATTGTGCTTTTGCAGCTTTTAATTCTTTCATTTATGCAAATCTGATAAACCACATTTTCCTTATTATTATTCCGAACTCAATACTGATAACCTTTATAAAGGGCTAAAGTTTTTTTTTTTTTTTTTCCTTTTTAATAGTTCTAATGATGTCTAAAACATCCATATTGATGAACATAAGATGTAAAAATAACAGCTAATATTGTAGCAGAATTACAAATAGAATGAAACTAAAGATTTCGAAAGGAGCCTAAACTAAGACACGTCTTCAATCTAAGGAAGATTAACTTATTCACAAAGAAACTGCCCAGCTCTTCTCATCGTGACATCTAATGAGGAGCTGTGGGAGGGAGACTGTACTGCCCGATTTCACGGGAACAGGAAGAATTCTGAAAAACTCGGAAAGAGGAAATGCAGAAACAGAACTA